AGCTAGGGCACCAGTATCAGTAAGGCTCCTCTAAAACTTCAGTTGAGACCAAAAGGCTCTCAAAAGAACTCAGAGCAACACGAGTCTTGTTTCTAGTGAAAAAGTCTCAGAGAGGTGAACAGACATGTTAATATACAGCCAGAAGAGGACTCAAACTACAGGAACAAGTGCCACTGAAGGATCAGCGTAGGCTGCCGTGACCGATCAAGCCAGCTTCCAAAGAGAAGGGACACGGCGAGACCGCGTGAAATACTGCCAGTGTATCACTGACACACCACTTACCCGTTTTGTGTAACTTTGCTTTTTTTTTGTTACGCATTACACAAGTGTCAGGCGAGTGCCCTAGCTGGCAAGGTCTGACCCCCCCCCGGGTTGCCACTCCTTTGCACAGGGAACCATCCCACCCAGAACGATCTCCTGGTGCACGTGAACCACGGGGAAGGACCATCCGAACCCCACTTTTGGAACAGGCACTTCTTGAAGTTTTATGCACACCTTCTTCAAGCTGCAAAACACGGGCGTTGCTGCAAATTCTTAGAAAAGCAGAGTTGAAGAACTGCAGCTTTTACATAACACCATCTCCTTCCCTCGCCCACCTGCACTGAGTCAGCACAGCAAGTTTCCCTCATCTGTAGTTTCCCATTTCTGCATCAGCAGAAGGTTATCAAATCTCCGTAGGCACCACAAACGGAACGTATCAAGAAACAATTAGAAAAGGGATTTTCTTCCATGTATTATCAGCTCTTCTGCAGTAGGAGTTCTATTTCACATTGCTATTAAAGCGACAGATATCACAGAAAATTACATCAGGTCTTTTCTGCCCGCTGACTCATATTCCCAAATAACTTTGGTTGACTCATTTCTCCTAACTTGTCTTGGCTGAAATCTAAGTTTTTCCTCTTTTAACAAATAAAAGTGGCTTTCCCCCCTTTCTTCAGCTTGTCCAGGTGAAGATTCTGAACACTTCCACTATTCCAGCTAATTGCAGGAAATGAAAACAAAAGTGAAGGGATTCTACCTGGCAAGACAGCCCTCCTGCCTCGTTGCCATGATTACAACGTGCAGAATCTACTCTGAGCATACCTATCCTGTATCAGCTACATACAAACCAGACTCGCTGTATCCAGTCACTAAAAACAGGGCCAACAGATTTACTATGAATAATTAAAGTTATTTTCTTTAAAATTTATCTTCTACCTTCACCTACAACTGTTTTTATGTTGCTACATAAAAAACACCATTAGTATTGCAAGACCATTAATGCAACTCCCCCGTAATTAAATGAAGCCACAAAAGGAACACGACACCAAGAGAGATAGGCTATTTTATTTAAAATCAGACCACAGTAGATTACAGAAAGACTTATTATGCAAACAAATCCACTGTACGTTTCACAACTTGCTAGGCATATAAAATTGCCCCTTTATTAGGCTGTCCAGGATTACACAGAGGAACTGCTCAGATGCAGGACGACTCTACCTCCTCAGAACTCAGTGTTTACCACGTGGCTTTATATTCAGGCTAAAGGAGTTGTCAATTTGAGCTCTGTATCTAAGTCGTTATTCCAGTTTGAGAGGGCAGAGAAGTCCCAAAAGAGGTCAAGACTGAGGTTGTGGAAGTTGGGGCACTGAACATAATGGGTACCCATGACCAGACTGTGCCCAGGGCTCTGCCTCCTGGCATCACATCAAAGCTTATATTCTATATAGTCCCTCCAGGGTCACTGGTACGAAGAAGGTGACCTGCGTGGTCCAGCTGTGCTAGAACAACTGACTCCGCTTCCTCTAGGAGACAGCACTGAAGTGCAGCGATACTCGTCCTTGAGTTAGAACCGTTCCGCGCTGATCATCAAACCACCTCACCACATACAATTGAATTAGTCATAACTTATAAAACTGCATACAAAAGACTTGCAGAAGTAATGCCATCCGAAGAGAGCATTTTCAACGCTACCAACACTCTAAAGCCGTGTTACACATTATATTTAAAAGATTTTTCTCCACTCCAATTGCTCTGGGGAAGTATATGCTATTTGCAGCAGACATTAAAAATCCTCAAGACAACATAATAATATATATATTTTGGCAAGCATACTGAGCCACCCCCTCTCAAGTCTCAGCTTGCCTATGGCATTTTAATCTCACTATCTTATAAACAGTGCAAATTAGTATGATTCTACACATCCTAGCCATAGCAGAATTTATTCATTAGCTATAACAGAACAGGAGAAGCTGTCGAAGGGCAACAGGTTGAAAGCACTGACACATCTCTTGCCCGACTCGTTCAGGTTAGTGTTTTGTAAAGTTTGTTTCTGAAAGGATTTAAACAGCTTTCCACAGTCATCTTTCTCCTTTACCCTTTAACATTACCAGCAGTCAAGTATATATTTACAGTTTGTGCGCACACACACACAATTAATGGCAAAACGTTTCCCATGAGCAGCTGGATTTCAGTTACGAGTTTGCTATAACTGAAACATCACATTAGTTACATGATCTATGTTCAAACTTACCCATCAGTGAAGGCAACTATAAGCTTACAAATAGCAGATACAGCCTTTGTCTCTTCTGAAGTACGAGGGTGAGTTTTTTGTAAAAGAAAGTGCCCTTAAAGAGCCCTTAAGAGTTAAGCAATGGCCATTCGAATGATAAAAACGCTAATATCCTAGTTTTACAATCACAAGTAGTGATCCTAAGGCACATCCGCCACATGCATATGCAATAATGCATTGGTTTGCTTTCAGACAGAAAAAATTGCATTAGCTTTGTCTGTATTTAGTTCGCACAAGAGTTTGTTTCTAGATAAAGTATCCCTGAAAGGTCATGTTATCACAAAAGTTACCAAAAGACAGAAAATTTAACAAGTAGTAAAAATATTTTTGGACTACTAATACCAATAAAGTTAGTACATAAAACGCAGTGCAAATTCACAATACACTTATCTATCACCTCCATCACTTCTGAGGATTTTCAACCCTCGGAAAAAAAGTTGGCACTTGATAAGTGTAAAATATACCTGGTTGTTCTTATTAAACGTTAGCAAAACAAATTTGAGAGTGTTTTATAGTTTTTGTGTAGCAGGCTCAAGTACGAATTTCTGTACTCAGTCACCACTCTGGTAGCCCCCACACACTTTAATTCTTTCTAGGACACAAATCATTTCTACAGCAGACTTACGTTTAGCATTCAGTCACAACAGTTGCCATCCAAGTACCAGCACTAACAGCACAGCAAAATTACTTCAAAACGAGTCATAATTAACCATGCTTATATGAAGCTTCAGTGAGAAAATAATACCAAGAAAAGATATTACACTATTTTAAAAAAACCACATATCCTGTACCATCACTAGATTACAGAAAAAACACACTTTGCAAACAAATCCGATGCACATTGCTTCACAAAATCCCCCATTTACAGAAACTTTGCAGACTTACACTGGGGAATTGGTTCAGCTACCAATAACACTGACCAACCTTCTGCCCTTTGTCTTCAGAAGGCAAAACAAGCCAAATAACCGTATTTTCAGAACAGAGAGCTTCCTGTTATGAGCTCAATTTCAGATTAGTATTTGCTAGCAACCACCACACTCCAGAGGAAATGATTAAGGGACAGTCAAGGGCTTTACGTAAAGAAAATAAAAAATAGATATTCTATTTTGACTGATGATGTTTGTAGTACAGAATTCCAAACAATGTAGTGCATTCCATGACAATGATATGAAAATGCTTTGAAATAACGCAGGGGCTGTGACAGATTCTGGACTGGAAGTTTCTAAATTACCTTGAATTAGTTGAAAGTTGTTTTCAAATTGGTAACGAATTTACGGACGCATTCTGCCCAAGCAACAAGTGTTAAGATTTGCCTCCCCCCATGTTAGATTAAAATACCAGCATGTGTCTGCACCTTAAACTTCAAGAGTCACACTGAGAGTGAAATCTGAGCTCCCCTAAAAAGCCTCCCCCCTCCAGTGGCATAAGATGTCAAGAATGGATTATGTAAGATTCAAACAGCCACCATGGATTTCAAAAAGCTTTTCTGTTTTGCCTGCTTGCAGAGAAACGTTACCTGCAAATTCCAGATAAATATGCATGCCAAAAACTGCAAAACTAAAGGAAATGGGAAAGTTAAAAATAGTTCTGTTGAGAGACTGACTGAGTTTGAGAGATAAAATGAAATCATGGAGCTTCAAGTGGGCATTTACATAACGTGAAAACCCAGTATTTGATTAAGAAAATACCCTGCCTAGATTCCTGGAATCACATGATATCAAAAGCTAAGCACCTGTGTAAAAAATCACTTCTGTATCCAAGGTGTGGAAAAGAAAAAAACCAAACAACAACCAACCATAAGAAAGAGTCTTAATAGGCAAAGAAATAAAAATGCCTGGTAAAGTTTCTATAAAACTCTAAACTGGCTCTACAAACAGTTCAGTTTAATTTCAAGAGACCAGGACTTTCAGGATATCGAGCTATTCAGGGAGTGGGAGGAGTGTGTACTTTTATTATGAAAAGTCTAAGGTAACAACTGAAATGTAGAAATGAAACTGTTGTAACTTTTACTGTCTAAAAACCATGCAACATTTTCTGACAAGAGTTTCAGCTCAGTGAGCTCTGAAAACGTTTTGCACCTGGCCATGAATGCCGTTGTCCAGGCACACTGCAAAGGATGCTGATGCGGTCCATTGCAACTCTGCCCAGTATTCAGATATGGTTGTTACTACCCAAACACTGGCACCGACAGAGAATTCTTTAGAGAGACAAATAGCTCCCAGTTTGCCACACATACATCCAGCTGCGATGTGAATACACCAGAACAGAAGAGGATGCTGATTTACCATCACTAAAGAATTCAGAGTGTGATTTGTAATGTCAAGAAATCCACTGCACGTTGTTTCACAATCTGATGGATTTACAAAATTTAGATCCTATCACCTTCCTAGAAAAACCTTGTCACTGATATTTGAAAACAAAAAATAATCACATTTACCAAACACAATTGCAAACCTCGGTGCCGCAGCTCGGATTGTGTACTCCATTGTGCAAAAACCAGAGGCTTTCTGTTGCCTACGTTAAGTCTCTGATGGGGATAAAAGGGAAATATAAGCACCAATACATAACTTGGGCGCACCAAAATATTCACTGGAGGATAAAGCCAGGATGCGGCGGAAGGCGAGGTGGTCTTTGGGGAAGAGCTGGAGGATACTGTGGTACAAACTGAGATGGGTATCCAGGCTGTGGCATTTGACTTGCAGACTGAACTCCTGGTCGTGGGGGGAGAGGAGGATACGGAGCACCTGGAAAAGAAAGAGCTGGTCCTGAACTCATGGCTGCAGTAAACGGAGTAGGAAAGCGTCCTGCTGGGACTGAAGAAGGTGGAGGGGGTGGTATTCGTCGGGGCACAACTGAAGGAGGAGTGTTTGCATCTGAAGTGTAGGAATCTTGAGGTGCTGGTGTTGTCTCAGGTGCTCTCGGCTGAGGCTGCGGCTGAACCTGCGGAAGTCTCTGTCCCTTCAGCACCATTTCTTGGAGCTTCTCGATTTTTACACGTCGCAGGTGAGCTAGTTTACGCTTGCTCTGGTACTCATCAATGAAGGAATCCAGTGGTATTTCACCATCAAGAAATTTTTCTGCCATATTCTGTCAAATATGGAACAATCTGTTAGAAAACGGCATACTGCAGGAGAATCTAAATGTCTTATATCCTAAAAATAGCATAATTTTGCCTGTGATTTTCCAGCCTGCATATGGAAGATGACGGGCACGCTAAGAATTCTGAGCTGAATTTTGAGTTAGTCATTACTCAGAAGCACTGGGAGTTAAATATCATCTTTGCTTAAATTTATACTGAAGCAACAGCAGTAAGAACATCTGAAACCAGCTCTGAATGTTCCCCTGATCATCAGAGATGGGAATGAATCAAGTTCAACAGCTTTCCAGATTGCCAGCTAAGCTGAATTACAGCTCAGTACTGCTCGCAATGCCAACAGAAACACTGAGAACTCTGCAAGCCTCAGTACAGAGAGGCAGATTATTGCTAAGCCAGGTTTAATACTCATGCTTACTTGTGGCTTTGAGTAAACGATGTTTAATAATTAAGAGAGGTGACCATAAATATAATCACAAAATTGTCCTGGGAATGTCTTTTTGTGATCACAGCTCAAGGCCAATAAGCAGATTTTTTCCCCTGATATAGTTATAGAAAGTGTCCTACAGGCAAATCAGCAAACAAAACCAAACACTTCCATTATTCTGAAAATAGACCACCCTTCAAGCACTTGTATCACAGCCAGTGATACCAGCCCCTAGACAGGTATGTTGAAATCCTAATGGAATATTTCAGCGGAAATGCTGGAGAAAAAACAGTGCAGGCACAGTTTTTCATTAGGTTACTAATTGACATTTGTAAGGGATTAATACGTATACCAGGCAAACACCATTAAAAAAAAAAAAAAAATTCACATTTACACACTGTGAGTTTAAAATCAATGTCAACGAACTAAAAGAACCTGGCTTTCTCTCCTGAAAATGAGCATTTTCTCTCTTAAACTTCAAAGATGTTAAGAGTAAGAAATTATTCAGATAAAAAAAAAAAATCTTGCTGAAACCAAATGGTCATTTATTGAAGTTCAAAGCAGAGACCAGACCATATTCTTAAAAATATCCCTTTAGCCTACTGCATGTTCAAAACTGCACTGCAGCTATGTGCACTGAAAGCCTTCGGTAATGGTTTTAAGTGGCAGAACTGAAGTGTACTGTCATTACCTCTGTGTCTTCCTCAATCTTCGCCCCCTCTGTCTGAAGCAGCGCGAGCAGTGTCTCCAGTGAAGCATTACTGGATTGTCTGTCTGTAATGGATCAAAAAGAACAGTAAATGACAGCTGGCTCTAAGTGACTTCTAACTGAAGCTATACAGCCTCAGCAAGCATAAACATATATGTATGTACAACTAGTGTAATCCACTGTTCTAGACAGGATGATCTACAGTAAGAAAATATATTAAGTAGTTCAGGAATATTGTCAGAGTGCTAAAAGCTGAAATTTAATTACAATGATATATTTATAATATTGAAAGACAAAGCACTTCAGCAAGTGCAGTATCAGATGTACAATACTTCATAATCCAGTATGAAATGAGAAAGTTAAATGCAATATTCCATTTGATTTATGATTTATCGCTGAAAATTCAAATTATGATTTGCTTTTTAGCAAGGTGAATTAATTTGATCATTTAGAGAAGATAAGGTCAACAATAGATAGGTAAGCACACAGTAACAGAAAGAATCCAGTTATCTGTTACCAGGTGGAAAAGATACTTAATAAATCATTAGAAGCATGATCTATTTCAGAACTACACAAGAATGACATTTCATTTTGTACCCTAATTCACACAACTAAAAATGAGACACCAAAAACCAAATCAAAAACGTGCAACAGATTTACATTCACTTAGAAAACAGCGAATCATAAGCGTCACCAGAAAATGTTACCTAGTTTTGTTTTCTTTATCTGGTATGCTTCAAAAAGAACTTGCAGCTCTCGATATTTTTCAGTCAAATTTGATTTCAAAGACTCCAACTTTGGCTGATACAAAAGATTGCCTTCTGCCAGACTGCGGTTGCTGGCAAGAGTCATGTCCTTGCTGTGTTGAACGTTTTGGGCCTGGGGAAAAAAAAAAAAAAAAAAAAAGCAGCGCATGAAATGATAGTGAAAATATTAAGCAAGACAAACAGTTATTTAGACAATATGAGAATTTCAAAACTTCTAAATAAGTAACAAAAGTAAGCTCTCTGTAAAAATTAGTACTATGGTACTGGACCTGCAACTAATACCGCACTTTTGGACTTTTTATGAACAGAGGGAATGTCTACTGTTTCGGTGGGTTTGGGTCAGCTCCAGCTACTGTGCTCTTTTCCCATCATCTCTTTCTGCTAGACAAAATCCTTTCTCACAAACTGTATTTTTACTGATATACTATTTTACTAACATATTATCTAGAAGGAATAAGAAGGTCTATGACGCAAACAGCGCATTGAAATCATCTAAAACGACAAGGGACTGTTGAAACTCATGGGAGAAAGACCTTCAGAGGAATTGCCCTGAGAATAAGGATCTCTTCTTTCAGCCAGGAGCACCTGTGAATGAATCCTTTTCTGAACAGGAATTAATACTGACCTGAAGTCACTTTCCTGCACAATTTTTTTCCACATGCAGCCGAGAGCTCATTAAACAGTTTTCTCCTCCAAGCTGGAAACGATAATTACTTGAAGAGTTTGTGTTGCGAGCAAGGACTCCTAAGAACACCCCTCTCCTTTGAGCGGGGGCAGAGGTGCCCCTGAACGCTCCGGCAGGCAGACCGGCTTTTGCCTGATGAGAACAGGAACCAGGTTCCGGCTGCGCTGACCCGCCTGCCAGAGGCAGGTTTCACCTCGGCCGTAGGGCAGTGGTTTACCGTGCAGAAACCAGTCTCTGGGCGCTCACTTAGACATTTCTGCAAAGTGGCAGAGGAATGCAGTTTATGCCACTCCAGTTTCTTTTAATTATTGTCACAAATTTACATGAGGTCTGACCTGCTGGCTGCCACAGCTTTATGAGGTCAGATTTTTACATTCGTGCCCTGCTACCTGACGGTACTTTGTATGAACTTTTACTCATTATTTAATGTAGATGCTTCATTCCCACCCTTACCATTTCCCCATGATGAACATTGACAGATAAAGCAACAGCTGCTCTTAAAAAAAATAACTTTGAATCCCAGCAGCAGCATGCAACAAGACTGCAGAGGAACATCATCCTTTATCTTATTAAAATGCAAAACCCTAGGACTGCATCATTACGGTGTCTTCTCCAGAATAATCTTCCCCAACTATGTTAAATCAATCCTGGATTAATGCCAGAAGCTCGTTTTCCAGTTTAATCCTTCTGCTCAACATATCCTAGCCCGAAGACATTGTTCCTAAAGAACAAATGACAATTCTCAGAAAACCAAGATTCCGACTTTGCTCAAACACACACACATGCTATTTTATCGCAACAGTCTTCATGAGTTTTGGGCTAAGCGTTTGGGCAAGTCTGCCCTGGTTGTCACATTAGATTCATTAAAATATTCAGACATCAAAAGGGAAAAAAAAAAAAAGCAAAGGATCTGATTTCAGATTTTCAGTCTGAATCAACAAGTGGGACAGTTTTCCCATGGCACAACACACCGATTCTATTAAGCTGCCTTCAAAATCAGCGAAATGTTTGGTACGCTTTTTGTGATCTCCTACATTAATACGCCCCTTCTAGCCCATCCCTGCTTAGCCATAACAGATCTTATTTACAGGCTGTTGCACTGAATTCAGTGCAAACACGAAGAATACCGTGCTTTCTTCCATCCACGCTCATGGGTGGATATAGAAGAGCCACACCTCAGAAAGAGGGAAAGCGGAAACCCAAATGAGCTATGTAGAAGCCCCAGAAAAGGACAGGATCAGAATTCAGGTGTTCTTGGCAGTCTGAGCCCACAACTAGGTGCATCAAGTGAAAATATTTTCCAAGTGTAGCAACAGTGTCTTCAAAAGCAGTTACTTCCTTCTGAAATATTTATACACTGCTTTAATCTTCTAAATTCAAAACTGGCTCAATGTTACTTAAACAGATCTTTGGCCCCAGATATTGCTCTTCAAATATCAAAGTTTTACCTTCTTTCACCCTGTTCTTGCTAAACCACTTTAAAAAAAACATCAAGTCAGGGATAATGCTGAGCCCCAAAGTCTACATCAATCAAAATAAAATTCTATTCCAAATTGCAAAAATCGGAGAAACTGTACTTGTGATACTGTTTTGTCTTCTCGAGTTTTTGCATCAAGCCTAAACAAGCTTCCAGCCCTACGCTTGTGTTCAACTTGAATCCTTTCCAAGAATAAAAAGAAAATCCTCTCTTCTCACTTTTGAATCCAACGCAAAATAATTTAAATTGAACTGATTGCTTTCACTTGTTTCTTCTCACATGATCCAACACTGTTAGACTGACACTTTCAGAAAGCCTAAGTCCCCTTATTTTACTTTTTTTTTTTTCCTAACAATTATGAAGGGAACTGAAATACACACTATTTAACACCTTAATTACTGGCATCCAGGTTCTTACCAAATCACCTGCCACCGCCACACGTTTTGTTAACTAGCTGTCTTCTGAACTGCCAGCCAAAGAAGATTGCGTGCAAAAAGATTCATGGTTTCTGATGCCTCTCCTCTTTCACCATTTTAATGAGCAAATTACTTCCTTCAAGCAACTTCAATTTGATCTGGTGATTGTATTTTCACTGCTGATATTCTCATTTCAAACCAGTTCCGCAGTCAGTCTGGGAAGACCAGTTTTATGAGTGAACTTTGATCTTTCTTCAGCATGAAGAACACGTACATTTCCTCTAGAGAGAAAAAAGCCAGTGGACACACACCTACAAACCTTTCAAGAGCACAAAACCCAGGAACAGGAACCTTTTACTGAAACCATATATAATAAAGACGTAAAGGAAGAACTCCAGGTAAACAGACAGAATAACAGAAAAAGCTTCCTGAAGCCAGATGAGGCTTTTGTGGTGTTTTTAAACGGTACTTTTAAATAACTCTCCTGCCTCGAGTATCATAATGTCTCTCAACAGGACTAGGGAGGGGAAGGAGGTGGCAAATGCCTAACTTTCTACAATGCTTTTCTAAAAAACTTAAGTCATTTCAAATGTGTAAAAATGAATGTATGTCAGCATGACATGATCTACCTGACTTGTAAAAATAAGAAAAAACCTCAATATTATGATCTATATCTAATGCAGAGCGACATCCTTTGCTGTCCTTGGCACCTGATACCTAGCAATTATGGATTAGTCTAAACTTAAGCGAAAGTCTTAAAAAATACCTGGTATAAAACTGAAAAAAGTTAAGGTATTTGTAATTGCACTTAAAGTTACAGTGCTTGAAATTACCCAAGACTTAATGACTCAACTTTTTCCATATTATAACACTTCTAAAAAGGGCACAATTTTTCTGCAGAAGTTGAATAAAAAACATGATTGACATTTAATGATCAATTCAAGTGTCACTCGAAGTCTTCATTTCCAGCATTAGTTTGTGTCAAATTTCTTTAAAAAATGGACAGTTGAAGAGACGAGAAACTCAAATTGAATCTTACTCAAAACCATGAGAAGAACCAGTTCCTCAAATACAAGGTAAACTTAGGAATGATATTTAATGAAACTTCAGGAGGAGCTGGTGAAGACCATTTCACCTGTTCAGGACATTTAAATGCTTCATGTCACTGAAAAAAGTTTGAAGTCTGTGGAATGAGTAAATTCTATTTCACAACAAACAGAACAAATACAATCCCGAAGCAATGCAACTTGAATACAGTCACAATCTGACAAACCAGAATAATCTCTGGCACTGATGTCAAGCTCCACATAATAAACTTTTCTGCAACTGTTCCACTGCATTTAGAAGTTAATTCAAGGAATCAGAAAAGCAAACAATGTGAAGTTACCCTAAAAAGCCCTATAGAAAAACTTTCAAAAAACGTTGACTAATTTAAAACAAACGAAAAACAGTTGCAAAATCATCCAAGGGTCAAAGATACAGTACAGCATGACCAGCCTATTAAGATTATCAATGCAGTACAAAGCACACTTTCAACACCCATTCACAGCTTTCCACAAGCCCAAGACAATAGCCAAGCAAGGAATAAATCCAGTAGAAGTTATTTTGTTGTCAGATGTGTGGCGCGATAAAAAAAAAAAAAAAAAAATCTGTATTAGCAGGGAACTGCTACTGCATCAGATGTTCACCTGCCTACTGGAAGTGCAATGATAAAAGTTATTAAGAGAAATAAGCAAACAGCACACGATTCTAGCAGAATTGCTAACACGACTACTGAGATCACGAGCACTTCAACAGGCAGGAAACACTAATCTGAAAACAGATGAGAAATACCAGTCAGAATCACGAGACATATTGAGACAGGACAATATTAAACAGAACGTATGCTTTTTTTTTTTTTTTTTAACTGCTAAGCTCTGTCTATGAATTCTGAATGGGACAAATGGGGCAACAACACTGAGCTGCTTATAAAAGGATTCTAATGGCTGAAGGATTGCTCACCACTGAGCAGACCACCCAAACCAAGCTGTGCGCACTGCAAGAAAATAAAGCCATGGACCCACAGAGGTTATTAAAGACAAAAATCATGATTTATGCAGCACTTCAAAACGTCAGATGCTTAAAAAGGGAGTTTCTTTAACAGAATAATTTGAATAATTTTACTCAAGGTTTTATTTATCAGGCACTTCCAAGAACAGGCAGCACCAACTGCTTTGGGAATTGAGATTCATCAACCGCAGTTTCATTTCATCCCACTTTTCAAATAGGAAGAAAAATGCTAGATGAAATTAAAACAGAAGCTAGTACTAGCTTAGGAACATTTTTACTGTTTATCATTTACTCCAAAATAATGGTTTGCTGCAAGAATTTTTTGTGCAAGATGTCTCAGAGAAGCATCATTTCTGTTCATCCAAAAGCACGTTCCCAGAAGAACAATTCCAAACCAGATGCCTCCTGAGATGCAGTCTGAGCGAATGAAATCCCAACTACCCACAAAGTCCACCAAGTGCTGCTATAATTATAAGCTT